AACAGCAAGGAAAAGAATGAGAACCCTGTTAAAACGAATAAAAACCGTGTTAGACCTTACAAGCTAATAATACTCAATAATCAGGAGAATATTGCCATCAAATAACCGCATTTACATAAAAGAATGTGAATTCCTGCAGTAATATGCGGATTTAATGAGCTACCCAATGATTCTTAATGTAATGAAGAATCTAAGTTAAACAGTGACCAACTTCAACATCCACAATTTTACATCGATTTATCAGAGCGATAATCCGTTGATAGTCCATATCCTTTATAAAGTCATTCAACACCGCATACCTATCCCTCGTTAAGAATATATACATGTACGTTTCTTCGTCACTAAACGGTATTCCAACCACCTGCAGATCAGCGTTCTCGCCATATCGATATGTGCCATATGCCCAAATTGGCATCATGTTAACCTGAATTCAACAAAACTGTATGCAATTTCTACTCACAATATACGCAACACTCATTCACATACCTTGTCAATGCTGCACAATTTAAAATTCCAATATATTAACACATCTTAACTTCTAAGAAATCTGAAATATTTTTCATCCAAAGTAGATGATTTTCGAAATTAGGCAGTACCACATTTGCTGAATACCTTTTAAATTACTTCATATCGAAATTTGACTTCATATTGTCAAGTTTAATCTAGACTGAACGATTATGGACAATATGTTATTGCAGCGTAGTGGAATTAGTTTCTTGAGAGAGCGAACGCATGGAAATGTGACTGAAGCTGGCTGATGAAGTAGCTTTTGCAAATGGGAAAGAAACGCTGAAAAAAAAGGCACACACCCGTTTGATTTCATCTTGATTCACATAGAAATCCTTCAGAAAGGTTTCTTCGTTTTTGAATTTCTTGATCCACTCAGCCCACATCCAAACGGCGTTGAAGACGAGAATTTTTGACTGTGGACGTGTGTTCGCTTGATTTGCAATCGTATCAATGTACGAATCGGATTCAGCTCTAATCCACTCATCAATATCCTTGAAAATGACTCGTTGAAGAAGTGCTATCGAAAGTACAGTATAATGTAAAGGAAATGAAATGTTTTAAGTGTTTTCCGTTGAAACTCGGCATCAGCGAGTGTCCATGTGAGCAAAACTAGTTCCCAGAAAACTACCCGAAAAATGTTCCCAAAAAATACTGCAAATGAGAAATCTACAGTTTCGGTGAGTTCATTCTGGAATGCTTAATCACTTCGATAAACTTTGTAATGTGAACAAGTTGAACGCACGGAAATTAAATCCGTTGCATTTGAGAAGTCGTTGAGCATGATCTGAGAACGATAATATTCGTGCACGGTGTTAAGCCTGAACTGCTCGTTTATTGAGGTGAGATTATTCTTTTGTCGAATCACAATAAGGTTCAGTGAATGGAAGGCAGTGTTGCTGATGGTGGAATTTGATGAGGAATTTTGCAGCTGATCATTATGAGTTTTGAAGTAGTTCTGAGTTCGTTGATGTTCTATGCCTGAAGTGATCGCGATGTGATTGATCTGTGGTGTGATCATATTAATTGCATCACAGTAAGCATATTAACAACAATTAATAACTAATGAACATTCATCATACTCGGACAAAGTATGTTCACTCTTCAGACTGAGCATCTAGAATGGTTGTTGTACATTCATGGGCATTTTCGGAGGCTTGAGATAGGGGGAGTGAGGGGACGTTGATTCAGAATTCATTCTGCAAAAATGTGCAAAATGTGTGTTGGAAAGGATATTTAGTTGACTGGAGGTGGTGGCTGCTGTAAATATGATTGGATCGGATAATTGAAGGGTTTATGTGAGGTACAAGAATGAGTTCTGCTACCATTTGCTATCAGTTTATCGATTTGTGCTTGCGTATTACCGACAGCACCATAGCTTAGGATCGATAGGGTGATGGCGATTGAGAACGGTGATATCACAAACGATGTGTGCCCATTTCGGGTCACATAACGCAGCAGTTCAATGGCAAATTTATACTCGGATTCTTGAATTCGACTCTCATCTGCGTTTCTGCAAGTAATTTCAGTTAAGTCCGTCAAATGCGAGTGTGTTTTGAGAAAACTTGTTCAACGTCGACTCACAAGACTTATGAATGATGACTTTTCAAAGAGGTTGCATTTTTCAGGGAGAATCGATAAGTTTACAACTGCAACTGCTTTATGAGATAAAATCCGGTATGTGGCCTGACCCCATACGTTCAGTGTGCCACTGATCAACGAAGGTTGTCATTAAGGGAAAACGAGAAGCTGCATTTTTAAGCCACCATTATGTTCAAGTCATAGCAAAAACAATGAAATCTTTCAGTTGCTCCGATGTGACTAAGAATCTACAAACTCATATGCTTCAGAAACTTTTAGTCTTAGAGAGCAGATCAATTGTATTAGATTTGGAAATGTGATTCATCATTATGGGAAAAAACCATTATAAAAGCATCATCGCGTTCTGCTTGGATCGTTTATTAGCCTGACACATTGGGATTGAGTGAATTCTTATTGTCACTTATAGAATGTGGTATGGAAAGCATTCATTCGGATTTTATGCTTACATCTGTCGAAATATAAACTGGAATAGTGTGCACATACTAAACTATTGTCACCTCTGAGCATTTGATCTGCACATTATGAACATTGATATGCCCAAATTTGGCCAGAAAAGCATTGATACAGTATGGTAACCGATTGAAACATAACACACGAGCTGTTAGAAACAAGATTACATAACACAGGATAACAATAAATAATCCCGTTTCCAGAAATTATCACTCAAATGGAACGTTGCAAATGAATGAATGATTACTGTACATGATTTAGGAACTGAACAGGTTGTGGGAATTGAACAATGGTGATAAACCAAATGAGAGCAATAATTCGAATGGTAACGAACGACAGACACCACTTTGGATGGTGATAAGGATAACATGAAAGAAATTGATAATGATAAGAAAGTGGTACCTTTTGTGGATAATTCTGTAGAAATGTGCGCAATTGATGCAGAGAATAAGTAAAAATAGACCGATATGAAGGGAATGATGCAGCAACGTTCGCATCGACATTTTGTTTCAATAATAAATTATGTTTTGGAGAATGTGCTCAGAGTTTGGTTTATATTCGTTTTTATATTGCTTATATATATTGCTATCCACTTGTGTTACAAATTAAATGAAAAAACGAATGTGAAAAAGTGTTGTTTGGGAATTGAGAATATACTACATAGAATAGTTCAGATTTCATATTGCCTTAAAACATCTGCTAGTAGAATCGATAATATGATATTTTAACGCACCCTTTTATTAGAGTTTCAGCTTTGACTTGACTATTTTGATCATATTTCGTTCATTAGCATTCTTATTCATTAGCTTTATGACAGTGATGCTTGCAATTGAAATATGTAATACTTTGGTGCAGAAGATGCATCTTATTGCTAGATTTTGATTGATAAGCTATCGCTGGCTATGTTTATGTGAATCACTCACTGTATGGTGCAAATATTACGAAATTGTGCAGATATTACGAACAATATGATGCAAATGTTTTGCAATTCATTTCGATTGAGAAACTGATTCATTTCACATTAAAATCAATGGAGCAGCGATCACGACAAAATTCGTCGTTATTGATTTCAATTTCAGTGAAAAAATGACGGACGGGAATTTTAAAAAATTTTATTGATTGAACAACAGCTAACTACAAATGATTTTAAAAATTATCGGAGTGCATGAATCGTTACAGAAAATATTATCACAAGAATACAATACAGTGAACT